ACAAAGGAAAGCCTAGATCTGGATGTCTTTACTGCTGAATTCTAACAATTAATATTAATTCTCTTCAAACTATTCCTGAAAATTGAAAAAGAGGCCATTCTCCCAAACTTATTTGATGAGGCCAGCATCACACTGACACCAAAACCAGACAAGAATACAACAAAAAAAAAGAAAACTAAAGGCAATATCTCTGATGAACATAGACATGAAAATTCTGAACAAAGGATTAGTAAACAGAATACAGCAACACAACCAAAAATTATTCATGATCAAGTTGGATTCATCCCATGGATGCAAGGATGATTCAACATACAACAATCAATAAACCTAATACAACCCATCAACAGTATCAAGGAGAAAAACCATGGGATTATCTCAATAGATGCAGAAAAAGAATTTGAAAAAATTCAGCATTCTTTATTATGAAGAATCTCAGCAAATTAGGTATAGAAGGAAATTGTCTCAACATAATAAAAGCCACATATGACAAACCCACTGCCAATATCATCCTGAGTGGGGAAAAGCTAGAAGATTTTCCCTGAAGAACAGGAACAAGACAAGAACACCCACTCTTACCTTTCCTATTTAACATAGTATTGGAAGAACTAGCCAGAGAAATCAGGCAAGAGAAAGTAATAAGGGACATTCGGATTAGAAAAGATGAAGTCAAACTCTCCCTGTTCGTAGATGACAGGGTCCTATATATAGAAAAACCTAAGGACTCTACCAAAGAACTCTTAGTGCTGGTAAACGATTTCAGTAAAATTGCAGGATACAAAATCAACACACAGATATGAGTAGAGTTTTTATACTCCAACAACAAATTAGCAGAAAAAGAAATCAAGAAAACAAGCCGATTTACAATAGTCACCATAAAAATAGAATACCTACAAATAAATTTATCCAAGGAGGTGAAAGATCTCTACAATGAGAACTACAAATCTCTACTAAAATAAATTAAGGAGGAGACAAAAAGATGGAAAAACATTCTATGCTTTTGAATTGGAAGAATTTATATTGTGAAAATGCCCATACAACCCCAAATAATCTACAGGTTCAATGAAATCCCCATCAAAATACCAATGACATTATTTACTAAAAAAGAAAAAAAAAAAACAATTCTTACATTCATATGGATCAACAAAAGACCCCAAATAGCCAAAACAATATAAAGTCAGAGGCATTTCCCTACCTCACTTCAAATTATACTACAAACTATAGTAACCAAAACAGCATGGTACTGACATGAAAACAGATATTTGGACAATTGGCACCGAGTAGAGAACCCAGAAATCAACCCATATACCTACAGTCAACTAATATTTGACAAGGACAGCAGGAGCATACACTAAGGAAAGGACTACCTCTTTAATAGCTGGCGCTGGGAAAACTGGACATGCATGTGTACAAGAATGAAACCAGACATGTACCTCTCACCATATACCAAAATCAAATCAAAATGGATAAAAGACATATAGAAGCCCCAGAAGTATAAAACTACTAAAAGAAAACATAAGGGAAACACTTCCGGCAAAGACTTTATGAATAAGACCCCAAAAGTAAAGGTAACGAAACAAAAATTAAATAAATGGGATTATATCAAACTAAAAATCTTCCACATAGCAAAAGAAACAATTAATGAGTGAAAAGACAACTTTCAGAATGGGAGAAAATATTCACAAACTTTATATCCTATAAAGGATTAATATGCCAAATATACAAAGAACTGAAACAACAGTAAAAAAGCAAGTAAACTAATTAAAAAATAGACAAAGAAGCTGATAGGTATTTCTCAAAGGATGATAAACAAATGGCCAATAGACATATGAAAAAATTTTTAACATCAATAAGCATCAGGGAAATGCAAGTCAAAACCAAATTGTGGTATCTCATTCCAGTTAGACTGGCCATTATCCAGAAGACAGAATAACAAATGCTGGCAAGGATGCAGAGAAAGGGGAACCCTCCTACACACTTTGTGGGAGTGTGAATTAGTGCAGCCATGATGGAAAGCCATATGGTGCTTCCTCAAACAACTACAGATAGAATTGCCATATAGACCAGCAATCCCACTGGTGGGTATATATGCAAATGAATGGAAATCATTATGTCAAAGGGATACCTGAACTCCCATGTTTAGCACATCTTTATTTATAATATGTAAGAGTTGGAACCAACCTAAATGTCCATCATTAGATGACCAGATAAGGAAAATGTGGTATATATTCAAAATGGAATACTACTCTACCATAAAAAGGAATGGAATTCTGCCATTTGCAACAACTTAAATGAACTCAAGAAAATTGTGTTAAGTGAAATAACCCAGGCCCTTAAAGAGAAATATTGCATGTCCCCACTCATAAGTGGGAGGTAAAATAAATAAGTTAATAAACAAAATAGGGCCAAGCCCATGGCGCACTCAGGAGAGTGCGGCGCTGGGAGCGCAGCAGCGCTCCCACCGCAGGTTCGGATCCTATATAGGGATGACCGGTGCACTCACAGCGCTCACTGGCTGAGTGAGGTGTGGCCGGTCTCAAAAAGGACAAAAAAAAAAAAAAAAAAAAGAAAAAAAAAAAAGAAAGAAAGATACACAAATCATAATACTTTGCTGAACTTTCAAAAGGAGAGAATGGAACTGATGCTGCCAGAGGTGGAAAAGGGAGAGGGTGGGTGGGATTATTGAGAAATTGGTAAAGGGCCACACACACACAAAAATAAATGATTCTAATGTGTAATAATAAATATAGTATTTATCCTGATTTGAGGGTCATGTATTGCACACAGGTATTGACATACAATGTTGTACCCCACAGATATGTACAATCAATGATGTTTCAATTAAAAATGAATAAATAAATAATTTTTTAAAAATAATAAAAATATAAAAGGTAGTCTAGTGGAATTTTATGATTATATGTTCCTCTGGTTTTGTTTCCATAAATTTTATAAAAAGCCATATACCTTTTTAAAAAGTAATATTCTATAACTTGAGTTGGACATCATCAGAAATTAGCATAAATTATTATAAATTTTTCTATAAATTCTAAATATATTCTATAAAGGCATAATCAGTAAGATGAATTATATTTCCCCTACTGCATTAAATAGCAGGCCGCTCCCCCAACGCAATTAAATATGAATGACTTGGAAAAAATTAATACTCATATATAAGATGATAATCACAAAGGAGTAAGTTGTTTAAATGTCTAATTATTAATTCAAAAGTCTTATTTGTCCTGATGTTCTAAACCTTAACAAGTAGTATCCTTACTAATTCCTGTAATACAACACTTTTTAGGTATCCTGTCTGATAAGATTGCCATGTTAGCTATGAAGAAGTTTTTGATCATAGCAAGGTGATGAAATATGCCTATGTGAGACCCTAGTCCCTGGGAAGTAAAATATTAATCTGGTCCTTTACAACCACTGCATCATAATGGAATGGGAGAGATACCAGAAAAGTTCCCAAAAAGAATTAGCCTTAAATGTTCTATTTCCTATATTCTGTACCAAAACATCCATGGTTCAAATTGGTGATTAAGAGGCAATCTCCTTTCTGTACAAAACTGCTAAATGTATATAGTGTATTATTGTAAATTAAGTTTATAAATGCAATCATCATATTTTGTTAATGTTCTTGTAAAATGTTTACCAAGCTTTGATCACAAAAATAGAAGTCCTTTGACAGCAGACAGAACTTTCTAAAAGTTTTAAGAAACGTATTTTGAAAAATATAGGCGCATATAGAGAACAATATATAGTAAATATCAATCTGAAATAAATATTAAAAAGCATTTTTTGAATATATAATACATATATTTGTTATGTACAATATTTTACACGATTTTATAAAATATATCATATTGGATATATATTAATATATGTTATATTAATATTAATATTTTAATAAATATATATTATATTGGATATATACACCAACATAAATTTAACATACATTTGTACAATGATAATACACATACATATTCCATATATATAATGTATGTGTACATACATATATAATGCATGTATATAATGCATGCAATATACAAATATCTGGTTGTATGAATTAAAGATTATTTCTCTGTATCTATATAATTACTACAGGATAAAATATTTGGGATACAATGGAAGGCTCTTTGTAAGCATTCCTAGCGTCATTTTACTTATTCTTTTCCCAAAAGCAATTGAATCCATAAATTTGATGAATGTGTATCTTTCTACTTCATCTATTTACACAATACGTACTTTTTAAAAAATGTGTTTTGCAAATTTGAACAATCATTAAATTTCATAAATATGTTCTAATATTTTCACTCAATATTAGCTGTTGTAGATGTGTTAATATTGATAATATATATGTATGTTTTTCACTAATATTAATTTATGCACTAATAATAATTAATTTTGATTACCATTTCAAAATGAGTATAGAAAAAATATATGATTTTTATTTATTGTTATTCTCCTAATAATAAGCAGTTAAATTATTTTAATTTACTATTAATAGAAGCATTGCTATATTTAATGTCCTTATGTATGTTTCTAAGTACATATGAATAAATATAAATTCTAAGATACACACATTAAAAAACTGTAATAATTTGATGTCAATATCTACTTTAGTTTTCTTCATAACTCATTTATCCAGAGTTAATGCATGGCATATTCGTTGGTGCATTAAAGCGTGTTTGTTCATGGTGTTACAGAACTAATCTGCCAGTAAGGTGAAAAATGAAGTCATGAACTCACAAAGAAAAACTTTGTTCAATTTTTTTTTTTTTTTCTTTTTGGCAGCAGGCCGGTATGTCCATCAATTTACTGTAGCAGCAGAAACAGGAAAAAAATTTGATTTCAAAGGGAATATCAAACATTCATGAACTCCATAACCATCTTATATGCATGGCATTTGGAGTTGCATTAATCAATCAAGACAAGAAGTGAGCATACTCTTCTATTTTTGCTAAGATCGTAGTTTTGATGCTTTATGGATGTAAACTTACCCTGTCAAGAGCTGCTTTCTCCAATTCATTTTTGGCTACAGCTAATTTTTGTTCCAGATCAGTAAGCTGCTGGGCCTGTAAAATGAAAGAAAGGCAAATTTTTCAGTAAATTTTATAATCTCCCCTCTATTTTAAGCATGTCATTCAATTCATTGCCAAAGAATTTAGGGGAAAAAAAGAAAAAGAGAAAAAAAAAGTATTACCCTATAAGATTCATTTAGAATTCAGGTTAAAAATACTATAATACATGGTCATTTGATCAGTATGCAGAAAATGATACATTCTAAATCAATATACACTTAATGCTGCACCAGAAAAAAAATATCTAGTTACAAAGATTCAGCTCAAATAGTTGAAAATACTTGATTTAAATTCATAAATTATGTTTCTAGTTGTTATGAACTGAATTGTATTCTCCCCAAATTCATACATTGAAGCCTTATCCCTAGTGTGACTGTATTTGGAAACAGGGTCTTAAGGGTAGGGCTCTAATCTTATAGGTTGATTGTCTTTATAAGAAGAGGAAACGATGCTAGAGATCTGTCTTGCTGTGCTCAGAAAGTGGAATGGCCATGTAAGAACAGAGCAAGAAATCACCCTCGGCAAACCAGGAATGGCCCTCACCAGAAACCAAATCTGTGGTCACCTAAATCTGGGACTTCTAGCATCCAGAACTTAAAGAACATAAATTTCCATTGTTTAAGCCACCCAGTCTATGGTATTTTGTTAAGGCAGCCCAAGCAGAATAAAATACTAGTATCACTCTATTTTTATTATTGAGTTTTAATCCCATAAACTTCGATATTGTGCCATAGCTCTGTACCTTTGCAAATGCCATAACTTTGCTGTTAAAGGAAAAGAGCAATGACCTCAGATTTGAAAGATGTATATTCAAATCCTGCCTACCCTGCTTCCTAGCTATGTGATCTTGGTCAAAGCACTTGACTTTTCTAAACTAGAGATGACAATACTTTTCTACACAACACTACAAGGGCTCAAATGAGGAATATGAAGACTTGGAAATTACATTATTAGCATACATATAGCAGTTGCACCATCTTGGCTTATTCCATTTTTCCTTTCATCCTTTTATTAATTTCCATACTCTCTACTATCCCAGGCTCTGTGCTAGGACCTGGGAATTGTAGAGGTTCAAAAAAAAAAGAATCTTTCCTCTATCTAAGCTACAAGATTATTTTTTCAATTCATTTATCTCTTCCAGTTATTGTGGTTTCCGCTGAAAACAAGAATAACCAAATATATTTAATTTGCTTTATAAATGCTGCCATTTTATTATCAAAATCATTTAATTATTTCAAAATTCAAGAAATATTATTGAACTTGTAATATATAACAAAAATGATTCCCTGCACTTGTACTATAAAGCTAAAGAAAACAATTCATGACCTCAAAGAGAGAGAGCATATAGATATATAAAATAAAATAGTGATGGTTGGTATCAAGAAAATAAAGCTAAAAGAGGGAACAGAGAATAGGAGAGGTTATAATAATGACCCACATCTCAAACCTTCATGTCCATTCTTATTGCATCCATCTCCTTGGCCATGTGACTTTTCAGATATTCCCATAAGGAAGAAAGTATATTTATCTTCCTCCTGATTCTGATTGTAATCTTATAAGGTTCTTGGTCAATGGGATGAAAGCGACTATGGAAGATGGGCTGGCCTCTGGCTCTTTGGGCATAAAAATGTGAAGGACATGATGCGATGTATCACATTTATTGACTTTTGTATGTTGAACCGTCCTTGCATCCCTAGGATGAAGCCCACTTGATCATGGTGTATAATTTTTTAAATGTGTTGCTGTATTCTGATTGCTAAAATTTTGTTGAAGAATTTTGCATCTATGTTCATCAAGCATATTGGCTTATAATTTTCTTTTTTTGTTGTTGTGTCTTTGTCTGGTTTTGGTATCTGAGTTCTGCTGGCCTCATAGAATGAGTTTGGGAGAGTAGCTTCTGTTTCAATTTTCTTGATCCTTCATATTTCTGTGGTATCAGTAATAATGTCTCCCTTTTCATTTCTGATTTTTGTTATTTGGATCTTCTCTATTTTTTTTATTAACTTAGCTAATGGTTTGTCTATTTTATTTATCTTCTCAAAAAAACAGCTTTTTGTTTTGTTGATCTTTTCTACTGTCTTTTGGGTCTCTATTTCATTTAGTTCCTCTCTGATCTTAATTATTTTTTTCTGTCTACTACCTTTAGGATTGGGTTGTTGTTGTTTTTCAAGTTCCATCAACAAACTCATGGACAAAACATATGATTATCTCAACGGAAGCTGAAAAGGCATTTGACAAAATTTAACATCCATTCATGATAAAGACTCTCAACAAATTACATATAGAAGGAAGGTATCTCAACACAATAAAAGCCATCTATGACAAGTCCACCACCAGTATCATGCTGAATGAGGAAAACTGAAGGATTTTCCCATAAGAGCAGGAAAAAGACAAGGATGCCCCCTCTCACAACTTCTGTTTAACATAGTACTGGAGGTGCTAGCCAGAGCAATCAGGCAATAGAAAGAAAGGACATCCTGAATGGAAAATATGAAGTCAAACTGTCCCTATTTGCAGATGAAATGATAATATATATTAACAACCTAAAGAATCTATCAAAAACTCCAAGAGCTGGTTAATACTCTCAGTAATATTGCAGGATACAAAATGAATGCTCCAAAATCTGTTGCATTTATATACTCAAATAATGAACTAACAGAAAGAGAAATTAAGAAAGTAAGCCCATTTACAATAATCACACACACACCAAAAATACCTAGGGACCAAATTAACCAAGGAGGTGAATGATCTCTACAAATGAGCACTACAAACCATTTCTGAAAGAAATTAAAGAAATCTCAAAATGATGGAAAGACATTCCATGCTCTTGGACTGGAAAAATTAACATTGTGAAAATGTCTGTACTATCTAAAGTAATCTACAGATTCAATGCAACCCCCATCAAAATACCAATAACATTCTTCACAGAAATGGAAAAAACAATCTTATCCTTCATATGGAACAATAAAATACCTTAAATAGCCAAAGCAATCCTGAGCAAAAATAAATAAATAAATAAATCAAAATGTATAACACTACCTGACTTCAAATTATATTACAAAGCTATAGTAACCAAGACAGCATGGTACTGGCATAAAAATAGACACTGAGATCTTTGAAGCAGAATTGAGAGCCCAGAAATCACCCTTCAGGCTTATAGCCATCTGATATTGGAAAGAATACAAAAGATATTACAAAGAATACAAAAATCTACATTGGGGAAAAGACTGCCTCTTCAATAAGTGGTGCTGGCAAAATTGGATATCCATATGCAAAAGAATGCAACTAGTGATGCACCTCTCACCAAATATTAAAATCAACTCAAAAGTGGATTAAAGACTTAAGTATAAGACCTGAAACTGTGAAACTACTAAGGGGAAATATAGGTGAAACACTCCAGCAACTAGGTCTGGGCATAGACTTTATGAACATGAGCCCAAAAGCCCAAGCAACAAAAGACAAAATAAACAAATGGGACTATACCAAACTAAAATGTTTCTACACAGCAAAGGAAACAATCCACAGATTGAAATGACAACATACAGAGTGGGAGAAAAATTTTGCTAACTATCCATCTAACGAGGGATTAATATCTATAATATACAAGGAACTCAAACATTTACACAATAAAAAAAAACACAATTAAAAAACGGGCAAAGGAACTGAATAGACATTTTTCAAAGGATGATGTACAAATGGCCAATGCCACATGATTAAATGCTCAACATCACTAGTCCTCAGGGAAGTGCAAATTAAAACCACATTGAGATATCACCTCACCCCTGTTAGACTGGCTATAATCAAAAAGATGCTGAATAACAAATGCTGTTGAGGGTGTGGAGTGAAGGGAATGCTCCTGCACTGTTGGTGGGACTGTAAATTAGCACAACCACTATGGAAAATAGTATAGAGGTTTCTCAAACAACTACAGATAGATCTTCCATATGATCCATCAATCCAACTTCTGGGTATTTACCAAGAGGAATGGAAATCATCATGTTGAAGGGATACCTGCACTCCCATGTTCATCACAGCTCTGTTTAGAATAGCCAAGACATGGATCCAACCTAAATGTCCATCAATGGATGAATGGATAAGGAAATTGTGATATATATATTCACTATGAAATACTAAAAAAAGAATGAAATTCTCCCATTTGCAACAACATGGATGAAGTTAGAGAAACTTAGGTTGAGTTAAATAAGCAAAGCACAGAGGGATAAATACCACATGTAGTCATGCATAAGTGGGAGCTAAGTGAGAAAGAAGGAAGGAAAGAAAGACCACAGTGGTGTGTTGCCCTGCAGAGGGAGAGAACACACCTAGGGATATAAAGTGGAGTGGGGGAAAGGGGAGGGAGTGGGAGGTTGGGGTGGGAGAAACAGGGTACAATTGTAATTTGTGTTAATGGGCATGCTGCCAGTATGGATCTGGCCTTCACATTTAAGTATGTCTATATATAGTATCCTATCATCTACAAACAGGGACAGTTTGACTTTGTCTTTTCCAATCTGGAAGCCCTTTCTTTTTCTTGCCTGACTGCTCAGGCTAGTACTTCTAATAGTATGTTAAATAGGAGTGGTGAGAGTGAGCATCCTTGTCTTTTTCCTGTTCTTAAGGGAAAACCTTTCAACTTTTCTGTATTAAGGATATGCTGCTGTATTCCTACTGCTAATATTTTTTGAGTTTTTTTATGTCTATTTTCATCAAGGATATTGACCTGTAATTTTATTTTATTTTATTATTATTTTTTTTGGGGGGGGGGTGTCTGACTGATTTTGGTATCAGGGTAAGTCTAGCTCCATTGAATTAGTCTGGAAGAAAGGTCTCTGTTTCAATTTTTTGGAATAGTTTAAAGAGAATTGGTATTAATTCCTCTTCAATGGTTTAGTAGAATTCAGCAATAAAGCCATCTGGTCCTGGACTTTTATCTGTTGGGCGATTGCTGATAAATGCTTCAATCTCATTGCTTTTTTTTTTTCTTTTTTGGTCTG